CAGTCACTGAATCAATCCATCTCATCAAGGGTCTTCTTCTCTTGCACTGTTCCTCCACCCTCCCAAACATGACGTCCCTTTCTAAGGACTAGTTCCTCTTTGCAACATGTCCAAATCAGGTCAGACAAAGCTTCCGAATCCTTACCTTCAAAGAGCAGCCTGGTTTCACCCTCTCTAGGATGAACCTGTTTGTTCTCCTAGCTGTCCATGGTATAGACTCCTCCAGCACCACAGCTCAAAGACATCAATGCTCCTTCTAACATTCTTCATAATTGTCCAGCTTTCTGAAGCATAGCAAGTAATTTTGAAGACTGTAGCCTGCACTTTAGTCTCTAGACTGGCATCATTGCTCTTCAGTACTTTGGAGAGGTCTCTGATAGCTGACTTTCCCAATGCAATTCATCATTTAATTTCCTGGCTCTGGTACCAAGAGTATTGATTGAGGAGTCAAGCAAACTGAAGCTGTTAACACTCTCGAGCTTTTTGTAGTCTATAATAATACTGCCAGTTGGCTCAGTGGTAAATAATATGGCCTAATAAAAACAGCTTAGAGTAATATAGATACTCTGTATAGATATGTATAGGTTTGTGTTCCCTTCTATTATGATAATGTTGTTTGAAAATTTTATACTGGTGTTTTGCCATAAGCTTGCTATTAAAATTCACTTTAAAGATCCAGAGAACATGAATTCGTGATGGCACCCACCTGGATGCCAGTGCCATAAAGTCAAGTCATTCTCCCCTCAAATTAGAATGAAATTGCTTCTTGAGACTGTCTTGTAAGTTATGTTTTGTCCTGTTGTTGTTGATGAGTGTCATTGAGTCAGAACCTACACCCAAATTAGGGGATGTTCTGGACATAAACCTACCCTGAGTAAAGCCATTAATCTTACTCAACTTTCATTTTTTTATCTAAAAACTAGATATATTTGACATGCAGGGTTTTGTTTGTTGTTGTTTTTAACATAGACCCTTTAATCATGAGAACCTCGAACCCAGGCACAGCCACAGTGGGAGGAGAGGTGGCCCGTGGAGGTGGGAGCAGTTCTGCCTGCACACTCCAGCTAGGATTCTTCCCCTTCCTCAGCCTCTACTTCCACAGAGTCCATGCCTACCTCTTCATAATCCTTCTCCAGCACCACCAGGTCCTCCAGGGCCTCAGAGAACTCCTCTTCCTTCATGCCTTTGCCTATGTATCAGTGCACAAAGACACACTTGGCATACATGAGGTCGAACCTGTGGTCCAGGCATGGTGTTTCTCAGCAAGCACACGACTTGCTGTACCTTGGCCAGACCCCTCCCCACTAGGGACCACTGTAGAGGGCTGGTAGTTAATGTCCACCTTAAATGCAGTCAGACACCAGCCCACAAACCAGATAATGTGCTTCATCTTGATAGCGATGGCATGCCAATTTCAATCTCATTATACACTAGCACATAAAAAATACACAATAGCTGCTGATCTTCTCATCTATCTAAATCCCACTCCCAGCCCAGGGTATTAGGAATTGAAGACAGCTGTTGTAACACTGTCAGAAGGCTGCGAGAAAGGGACTACTTTGGCTCAATATCTGAATCTCTTTGAATTTCTATTAGAACAATGTAGACTTCACTGGGATGTTATAAAGATTCTTGTTACATAGTATTGACTCAATTTAAGAAAGAATTAGCTCTTCCCTTCATCTCTGGGGGTTTTTAATACTGTAATCTATAGAGAGTTCAAGTGGCTTAGTGGCAAGAAGCTGCACTGGAATCCTGAAGGCATGCAGTTCTAGGCCACCTGCTGCTCGACAGAAGAAGGATGGGCAGTCTCCTCCCATGCGATTAACTGCATCTGAAAACCTGCTGGAGGGTCTGCTATGGGTCGGTTCCACAACAACAACAACAAAAACAACAGTATAGTTTATCTCTTACTGGTTACCCCAAGTGTCGTTCTGTTCTAACAATACTATTGCATTGCAAGTAAGGTGGTTGTTGCTTGCCATTAAGTTAATTCCAACTTATGGTGACCTCATGTGTGCAGAGAAAAACAGTTGAAAAGAGTTTGCAAGGCTCTAGCCCTTAAAGAGCATATCATTCACATGATGGAATACTATGCAGCATGCAAGAACAATGATTTTGTAAATCCTAACTTGGGAGGGACTGGAAACCATTATGCTAAGTGAGCAAACTCAGTCCTATAAGGATAAATATACTATAGAAGACCATTATTGAGGGAACTTCGGTGGCCTAGTGGCAAGAAGCTAGCTGCACTGCAATCCCAAAGGCATGGTTCCAATCCACCAGATGCTCTACTGGAGAAGGAAGGGCAATTTCCTCCTGTGCCAGTAGTAGCAGCAGTAGTAGTAGTAGTAGTAGTAAAAGAAGAAGAAGGAGGAGGAGGAGGAGGAAAAAGGTAAGACCATTATTGTAGAACATGTATGAGAATCCAAGTTGCAGGGAACAGAGGGGTAAGGGTAGATGGGGGTGAAGGTTTAGGGGTGGTAGTTAATCACAGGGTTGCAAAATTTGTTGGGGAAGGGAAGGGTGGGTAAAGGAAATGAGAACAATCCAGTGTGAAAAACAATGTATATAAACTTGGTAAGTAACCCAGGAGTAGTCGTTGTTGTGTACCGTAGAGTTGGAACTGACCCATAGCTGACCCCCCGGCAGGTTTTCAGAGGAGGTTAATTATAGAGGAGGAGATTGTCAGTCCTTCCAGCTGGTGGTCTTGAAATATGTGCTTTCAGGATTGCAGTGCTGCTTCTTGCCTCTCGGCTAGCAGAGCTCCCTCAAAAAACCAGTATAAAATAAAAATTTTATTAAAAAATAAACATATAAAACAGATGAGGGAAAGAACAGATTAGAAGTGATATATGATTGAGTATTATGGTTAGCACAGGAATCCAGAATTACGGTTGCATAGAGAAGTGTACTCGGGGTGGGGGGAAGGGATGTGGGAACTGTATACTGATGAAGGATTTTTTCTTTTTTTTTTCCTCTTTTCTCTCTTAAGAGGGGGAAGCGAGCTGGTGGGGAGGGGTGGGCAGGGAGAAAATTGCGGCAATGAATGAACAGAAATCCAAAACCTCTGTAAAAAGAAAAATAAAAAAAAATAAATAAACATATAGCCAAATTTGTCTTTCAAAGGACCTCTCAGTGGATTTGAAACACCAATTTTTTAATCTGTATGGGGTTACATACGTCATGTTTACTGGTTTTATAATTAAAATAACCTCCAAACTTTTCTATATTTTAAAACAATGCTCAAGTCATTAGAATCTCTTTTCAACTCTCCCGACTCCCTGCTTTGTGATCTATGGACAGATCTTGGATCGATCTCCATGGATCCATCTTGAACTTCCACAAAGCTCACCACATACATGTTCAGTATGTGTCCAGAATCTTGGGGGGGGGGAAGAAAAATCCAGAAAACTAGGGTGTTTGGATTTTGGGGCATTTTTATTTGTATCAAAGTAAAACTTTTCAATTTCTGGTATGGCAATGCAACTTCTGAATGGCATCTTTTCCAAGTGACCTCGTCACACCCACAAGAGGTAGGTAGATGCTATAAGCATCAAGGTCCCTATTTTTCAAAGAGAAAAATACACAGTTGAGACAAAATAATTTACCATAGTACACACAGTAAGTCAATCGCAAAGCCAGAAACAGAATCCAGCCACAATCTAGGTATTTCATGCCACCCACTCCATTTACTTTTATTCTCTCAAAGCATATGGTCATTCTCCACTTTGCTTTCTTCTTTGCCTACCTTAAGGGATTGTTTCTAGAGGAGTGAGAAGGTGCACAGTGCTTTTGCCTAGACTGACTTCCTTCTTCAAGAACAAAACATCCCTTTCCATGTCTAAACACTTTCCCACGCCAGAATCACCCTCAGTTCTGCAGAATAGGAGATCCCAGTTCTTTCCCGAGCAGGTCTGAAATCAAGTACTACTTTTTTCTAATCTTCAATGGGGCTATACTACAATGATAATTAAGAATCCACAGTGGATTACTAGACTTTCCCCCTGGGAAATCGATTCAACAAGAAATGCACTCCTCTCAGCTAGGAGTATTGGGCACAACTGCCTGGAACAGAGACCACCTATTCTGGCCTTGATCAACTGGGGGGCACCAGTCCAGACACCTGAAATCTAAGGGCTGTGATCACATGAATTCGCTGAGAGGCAGTGCTCATTAGAATGCCGCTACGGGGACACAAAAGATGTCCTAGGGTGGACACATTTGCTCCCACTATTACATGGACCAGAGTTGGTTTCTAAGGTCCTAGGGAAGTCACAGCACCAATAGGAAGAGTGGGCTCAAGTGAACACATTCCAACTTGTCATCATTACCAGAGTGCAAAACCTGAGCAGTCACTGGGCAATGTCCACCAGGGGCCAGGCTTATGTAAAAATAAAACATGTGTGTATAAATAAATATCCATGGCATTCAATCAGTCAGCACATGGAGAACTCATAATGGACACTTTTAAGAGACTAGAACATTCTCAATGCTGAAGATCATCCTTTCCCCACTGGTCTCAGCTTTGGGAGTTCTCTCCCTTTAGGATAAGTATAGTTACATTGTTCCTCAGCAGACACCCAGTATGTGGAATCCGTGGTGCTCCTATCCTCAGCTGCAATGTGCATCAGACTGTTTTCTCTGTGTCAGGAAAACAACTAATCGAGAAATGTGTGACGGGGGGCTGATTCCTCAAAATTATATTCATGGGTTACAATCTGTGTTGATGCACTGAATCTACCCCGGCAAACAGGCATCAGATACTGCAGACTTTCTGGTCCTCAGTTTTCCTATTTCTAGATACAACTGAGTGGCTGGGCTCACAATTTAATCATCAACTAGTGATTTTTTGGATTTTTTTTTTAATCTGTCTAGCCTGTAATTACACATGTACAGATTTATCCATCTGAGCAAAATTTACAACCTTAGAACAGGGCAAATAAAAAAGGGAGTCAGAACAAAACAAAAAAAAACCCAAACAAAACCAAAAGATGGCCTTGTGAACCGTCTGCAACAGGAAGCAGACTCAAGCAAAATATGCATGACAGAAGACAGCCACGGCCAGCAGGATGATGCCGTTGATGTTCACAACTGTCCTCCACAAGGGCTTCTCTGAAGTGTCCATCATCTTCTGCTTCATTGCTTTCTCCTCTTCCTTGGTCATCTTCGGGCCCTTCTGCTGGTCCAGCCCACAGAATATGTCATAGGCCCGCCTGAAACATCCTTTCTTCTTCTCAGGAACCTCTGTGTCAAGAGGAAAGAGAGAAACTCATTATTGGCCACAGCATCAGGAATGACTGAAAAGAGGTCCCAACAAAACCACTGAACAGCCACAGACGCTTCCCAGTTCTGCCATCAGATCCGACTTGTGTCTCTGCTCTACGCTGCCTCCTTATTGTGGGATCATTTGGATCGGTTCTTTTCCACTCTAAGTCTTAATGTTTCCCTATGAGACCAATAAAAACAATCTCTTCTTCTGAAAACGTCTCAGTGCTCAAAAGGTCCCTATGTACTCACTCAAAGTTGTGATAGGTTCACTCCGAGTGAATCTATTTTTAGAGGAGTGGGATTCACATTATAGTCAAAGAAATCCACTGTGGAAGTTCTACTGCATCCTTTTGGATATTGTTGTTCACCACTGAGTCAACACCAACTCACAGCTGACCCTCCAGTTGCACAGGTAGAGACTGCTCATCTTTCTACCACGGGCCAGCTGGTGGATTCAAACCACACGCCTCTGAGTTGACAGTAGAGCTCTTTCTCAAACGTGACAAGATTCACACCTGCCTGCTTCAGAAGAGCAGGAAGGGGCTTCCCTTTTAGTACTAGGGTCAGTCACATCTGGCTCCACGTCCCCTCTAACACCTGCATGGGTATGAAATTTACAATTCCGGTCTCTCCTGCCTAGAACTTCAATTTACTTGTCTGTCAAATGAGGTTATCAAGTAGGTGAAATTTTCTCTAGGATCCTTTTCTGGGCGAGTGAGTATTCTATGACATCCCCAATTGCTCTGATTGAAGCTGCGTGCTCCTCTTTCGATGGAATGAGGAGACTTCCAACCCAGGTCAAACATGTGATCATGAGATCCCATGCCTCTGTGCACCACTTATGTACACAGTCATCCTACTTGCATCTTTCCCATTGAAACACTAAAGCGGGGCAAAGCATATCTCTATGATTAGGTTCGTTCTCTGAGCTCTGACAACTATGATGACTGTTATGATGACATTATCTCCTCAGATCTCCAGGTAAATTTGATTGTCTACTTCTAATATGGTACCTCAGGGAGACATAGATTCCAAAAGCCTACATCCTAGCCTCTGATGTACTCAGAGCCAAGTATAGCTTTGGCTGCATCTGCTGCCCGTTCACAGTCTCTGTCAGAAGAGCTGTGACTCCTCCTTTATCCCTAGCCATTCCCCAAATCACGGAAGAGGAGCATGATTCATGTGCACATGTGTAATCACTGTAAACAGTGAAGCTAGGGGAGGTGGGATGATTCTGCACCTCCTTCTTCCTCCCATTCCTTCCACGCCTCTGAGTGAACTTTCCCAAACCCCCTTCATCCATCTTATCCTCGTCATATTCCTCATTTCCCACTAAGGGAAAGATTTAGACTTTCATGAAGCCATTTAATAGAGCTCTCCACAAAGGATTCTTTCTGTTATTGTAGGTAAGACTTTGCAGAGCCTAGGAATAGTCTGTGAGTCATAAATCACCAATGTCTAGTGTCTCCTCAGGGGCTTCCGGGCTGGTCTCCTCTCCTGCATCTAGATCAATTCGCTCCTCTTTGCTATTGCGAAGACTCCAGCACAGACGATAGAGCTATAAAGAAAGCAAGACAGGTTAACAGGAGGATCCAGACAGTGTCTCCCACCAAGAAGCTGGAGGAATAAAAGGATATGCAATGAGGGTTGTAGAGTGGATTATATTTGGGGCTAGGGGGTGGGGTTTGGGGAGGTGCAGGGTGGGGGGGATTGTGTACCAATGAGGGAGTTTTTCTTTTGCGTTTCAAGGAGAGGAGCAAATGGGGGGGGAGGGGGGAGGGGTTTGTGCAGGGAGAAGGGTACAACAATGAATGAATGGAATCCCAAAATCTCTGTAAATGTTCATTGAAATGAAAAATAACCTAAATTAAAAAAAAAAGGATATGTGATAAGAAAGAAAAAGGCATGTGATCTCATAGTCCTAATAAGGGCACAGATAACAGTTCTATCCTCAGCATTGTCTCTAAATATTGAGGACCAAAAGGACAGGCAATTCTGTCTTCGGAGAAGTATATTTACATTGTTCCTCAGAAGCAAAGCGAGGGAGACTTGGGTATATCTCATATGCACTGGGCATCTTCTAGGAAGGGGCCGGTCCTTGAAGAAGGACATCATGCTTGGAAAAGTAAAGGATCAGTGGAAAAGATGAAGGCCCTCCAGAAGATGGATCGTCATAGTAACTGCAACAATGGATTTAAACACGGCAGACATTCTGAGGATGGCACTGACCACATAGTGTTCCCTACTGCTGTACAAGTTGTTGTTATGAGTTGGAGCCTATTCCAAAACCACCCGACAGCAACGTGTTGAGAATTTCAATGTAAATGATTCAAGTTTAGATGCAGTAGATCTTATGACATATGTATATGCAAAGCCTAAATTATTTGACTACAGAAATGTCATTTCCATGCGTCAAAGTCAATTCTACATTAGTGTGCTGTGTTTTTATTGTTGCTGTATTTAACAGCATGATCTCCTGGGATCTATGATAATTTAGTTTATTCTTTTCATATTATTATTGAAAAACAGGATTAGGCACCTATTTGTCCAGACCTACAGCGTAAGACACTATAACTATCTGTGTTCCTCTACTGTTCACAGGAGTCATAGATCCTATTCACAGAATTCATAAGGTTGCTTTGAGTTTCAACTCAGTGCCACTTAACAACAATGACAACACAGTGTAAGGTCAGATTTTTGTGCAATTTATCATATTTAGGGCAGAAGAATCTGTAGAATCGAGAATTATAATGGAACAAGGTAGGATACAACTTTTATTGATGCTGTCCCAATCATGAGTGAGAAACTGGGAAAAGGTTACAAATCAATGCAAAGTGTTCATCACACCACCCCCTCTTGGGTAATTCTCTCATTTTTTCTACGACAAGTGGAAAGTATGAAATCAAAGGCTTTGGTTAGAGAGAGTGAGAGTTACCTACCAACAGAGGTGTGGTGTGATGAAAGCAAGAGAATTACTAAAGAGAGTGTGCGCTAAATGTTTGAGGTTATAATATTTTTGGGGGGTTATAATATTTTATAAGACTGAGCCACGAGGAAGTGATTGATACAATACAATGAAAGTATATCATAGACCTGGCCAGTAGACAGTAATCAAAACGCAGCCTCTGTTTAGTATTGAGGTTAGTTACAGGACTTGAAAATTTGGCACTAGGATTTCAAATCTCTCAGCAATTCTGTGGACACCAGTGTGTGTGTGTGTGTGTGTGTGTGTGTGTGTGTGTGTGTGTGTGTGTAAAATGTTAGCAAAACACATTCCTTTTTATAGACAATTATGATCTGGAGTCAACTTTCTAGCTCTGATCCCTTAAAACCCCAAGAAAGTAGAATGTCGGCTGTGTTATATTATCATATATGACTGATGGTTGATACCAATAATTGGTTACGGCATTTCTCTAACTCTGAATAAGAGTACTTGTGAATTTTGAGGTTTTGAATCAATAAGCTATTGTTGGGAAGGGTGGAGTGTCGGCGAAAGAGAGGAAGACCCTCTGCCAGGTGGACTGACACAGTGACTGCTGTAATGGGATCTTTTGTGTCGGGAAGTGTGAGGATGGCGCAGGACAGGCCTGGGTTCAGATCGTTTGTTCATAGGGTCACCATGAGTTGCCTAACAACAACAACAACATTATTAGAAATGCTTTCGATTTTATAGTTTACAAATTTTATGGAAAAAATTTTAAAGGAGAAATCATGGTTCAGGTATTCCTGAATGTGATTAATCCTGTAACAAGCTATGTCCCTTGTCTGGACTCCTAGACACTAGTGGCCATGGGACTGTTGACAAGAAATATCAGGTTTATTTGGGACACTGACCTCTGAGGGGGCACAGAGCCCCTATAGTCATCCATGGGGGTCTCACGCTCTTATATCAGAGTTATCACTTGGAGGAAGAGCCACAGACTATGGTTAGGACTAAACCTCTGGACTGACTGAGGACTCAGCTAAAGACACAGTCTAGTCAACACACTGTCTTCCCATCCTGTATTCTTCTACATAACATAAATGCCAAATGTGACCTGTCTGAACCGTGAGAGCATTTTCTGTCTAACGGAACAAGGCAGCAAGTGCAGGACAGGATCCTAAATCAATACTCACATGCACATCTGGGATGGGCTTGGTCATTAGGGAGACGCCGAGGATGGTGATAACAGAAACGACGAAGAGGATGATGGCAAAGTACAGGTAGTGCACCCCACAGATGATCGTGGGGCATTTGCTGGGCTCTGTGCAGCTTCCTGTTCCATAGGCAAACTCAGTAATCATACGAGATATCCCAATCAGGAATCCTAGGATCAGCCCCCAGAAGGCTCCCTGGGAAAGAAAACGGTAGGTTAACCAATGCAACACACATGGCACAGCTGAGCATCCTGGCATCTCTGGGGAAAGAGATGAGAGAATAAAGTTGAGTAAAAGCAATGGCTTCAGAACTTCTAGAGTGAAAGCATTTGATTGGCATTTAGATCTTTTTTTATTATTATTTTTTGTATGTGTGTACTGTCAAATCTGATCTGACTGGTACAGGAGGAGATTGTCCCTCCTTTTCCAGCAGAGCATCTGGTAGATATAAACTGTGCACCTCTGGGATTGCAGTGCAGCTTCCTGCCACTAGGCCACCAGTGCTCGCTCTTGATTGGCATTTAGAATAAGACTGACATTTAGAAGAGAATAAGCCAGGCCTTTATGGGTGTATAGATCATATTTCAGGGATATGATTTTACCTGGATCATAACATAAGGATTCCTAAATATGTCTCTCAAGGGAGCTCTGGCAGTCTAGTGTAAAGAGTTGTGCTGGAAACCTAAAGGTTGTTGTTGTTGTTATGTGTTGTCTAGTCACCTACGACTCATAGCGACCCTATGTACAACAGCCATAAACTCTGCCCTATCCTGTGCCAATCTCACCACCCATTACCCCCGACACACCCATTACCCCAGTCACTGAATCAATGCATCTCATTGAGGGTCTTCCTCTCCTGCACTGTCCTTCCACCCTCCCAAGCATGACGTCCCTCTCCAAGGACTGGTCCCTCCTTGCAACATGTCCAAAATATGCCAAACAAAGCTACAGAATCCTTGCCTCCAAGGAGCAGCCCGGCTTCACCCACTCCAGAACAAACCTGCTTGTTTTCCTAGCAGTCCATGGTATATTCAATACTCTTCTCCAACACACAGCTCACGGGCATCAATTCTCCTTCCGTCATCCCTAGTCATTGTCCAGCTCTCTGATGCACAGCAAGTGATTGCAAAGACCATGGCAAGTATCAGGTGCACTTTAGTCTCCAGACTGATGTCCTTGCACTTCAGCACTTTAGAAAGGTCTCTAACCACAGACTTTCCCATAACAATATGTCTTTTAATTTCGTAGCTGCTGGTGCCAAGAGTGTTGACTGTGGAGTCAAGCAAACAAAACTGTGAACAATTTCAATCTCTTCACCATCCATTATGATGCTGCCAATCAGCCCAACCCAGTGGTGAGAATCTTTGTTTTCTTGATATTGAGTCTCAATCCGTACTGAAGACTGCAGTCCCTGACCTTCCACAGCAAGTGCTTCAGATCACCCTCAGTTTCAGCAAGCAGGGTTGTGTCATCTGCATAATGCATATGTTGATGATTCTTCCTCCAATCCTGATGCCACATTTCTCCTCATACAGTCCAGCCTCCTGGATAACCTGTTCTGCATAAACATTGAAAAGGTATGGAGACGGGATACAGCCCTGGCGTACACCCATCCCAGTTTTGAACTATGCAGTGTTTCCTTGCTCTGTTCTGACCGCTGTCTCCTTGTCCAAGTATAGTTTTCACATTAGCACAATCAAGTGTTCTGGGATTCTCATTCTTCTCAGAGTCAGCCACAGTTTGTTATGATCCACACAGTCAAATGCCTTTGCATAATCAATAAAACAAAGATAGACATTCTTCTGGTACTCCTTGCTTTCATCCAAGAGCCATCTAACATTATCTACAATATCCCTAGTACCACAGCCCCATCTAAACCCAGCCTGCAGTTCTGGTAGGTCTCTGTTGATGTGCTGTTTCAGTCATTTTTGGATAATCTTCAGCAAAATCTTGCTTGCATGTGATATTAATGATATTATTCGATAATTTCCACACTCTGTGGGATCACCTTTCTTTGGAATGGGAACAAATATACATCTCTTCCAGTCAGTTGGCCAAGAAGTTGTTCTCCAGATTTCTTGGCACGACTTGGTGAGCACCTTCAGGGCAGCATCTGTTAGTTGAAATATGTCAGTTGGTATACCAGCCATTCTTGGGGCCTTATTCTCAGCCAATTCTTTCAAAACAGTCTGAACTTCTTCCTTCATCACCATATCGCTCATATGTGATTTCATTAAATTCTTCTGTGTCTGCCAGTTCCTTTTGGTATAATGACTCTGTATAATCTTTCCATCTTCCTTTTTTAAAAAATTTTATTTATTTATTTATTCTATGTGTGTACCGTCAAATTGGATCTGACTGGTACAGGAGGCGATCATTCCTCCTTCTTCAGCAGAGCATCTGGTGGATTTGAACTGAGCACCTCTGGGATTGCAGTGCAGTTTCCTGCCACTTAGGCCACCAGAGCGCGCCTCCATCTTCTTTTAATATTTGCAGGATCACTCAATATTCTGCCCAAAGCATCCTTAAGTATTGCAACTCAAGGCTTAAATTTCCTTTTCAGTTCCTTGAACTTAAGACATGCTTAGGGAGTTTGGCCTCTTTGATTTTCTGACTCCAGCTCTTTGCACATTTCATTATAATACTTGGTCTTGTCGTGCAGCCTTTTGAAATCTCCTGTTTCAGCTCCTTAATGTCTTGAATTTCTTCCTTCTGCTTTGGCTTCTCAGAGCTCCAGTATAATATTCAGAGTCTCTTCTGACATCCATTTTGGTCTTTTCTTCCTCCTCCGTCTTTGCTATGAACTTTTACACTCTTCCTGGATGATATTCTTGATATCTTCCCATAACTCATCTGGTCTTCTCTCATTAGTGCTCAAGGCCTCAAACCTGTTCCTGAGATGGTTCTGAAATTCAGGTGGGATAGACTCAAAGTCATATTTTTGTTCCTGTGGGCTTGATTTCACTTTCCTTAGCTTCAGCTTAAACTTGCATATGAGTATTTGGTGGTCTGTTCCACAATCAGCACCAGGCCTAGTTTTCACAGCTGATATCGAGCTTCTCCAAAGGTACATGGTCCAAATCCACCAGTTACTCTGTAATAGAAAGATGGCTCATCTCCTCCCATGCAAGCAATTGCCTCTGAAAACTTGTTAGAGGGTCAGCTATGAGTCAGTTTCAACTTGATGGTACACAACAATACAGCTCTCAAAAAAGTGAGACCGTTCTTTGAGGGAAGAAGGTCATTCATGCTAGTGGCCCAGTGGTAAGGAGCTGAACTGTCAATTCAAATGAATGTGGTTTGAATACACCAGCTACTCTGCAGAAGTTGGGCAACCTCTTCTCATCTGATTTACTGTCTCTGAAAACCCAGTAGAGGGTCAGCTATGGGTCAGTTCCAGCTCAGTGATGCTTAACAACAATACACTTCCCAGTTTGTCATACTGTGGAGGCCTATCTGTAGCTGTGATGTTGGAAGCTATGCCACTGTGATTTCAAATAGCAGCAGGATCACCAGTGGAGATTGCAGTGACAACTCCAAACAAAGGCAGACTAGGAGGAAAGGTCTGGTGATCTGCTTCCAAAAACAAGCCAATGAAAACCGTGTGGACCACACAAGAGAATATGGTGCTGATCTTTCAGACGTAGAGCCCCTCAGGCTGGAAGATATTAAAAAATGAGGAGAAACCATTGCAAATAGTCATTAAAAATTGGAACGTGGAATGTATAAAGGATGAATCTAGGAAAGTTGGAAGTTGTAAAAAAGGATATGGAGCACATAAATTTCTACCTGTTGGGCATTAGAGATGGGCTGGTATTGACCACTTTGAATTAGACAGTCTTAAGATCTATACAAATTGAAGAAGGAGAGTGCTGCATTCATAGTCAACAAGTACATTTCAAGTTGTTCATAGGATCTCTGTGAGTCATGGTTGCTCAACAGCACCTAACAATAACCTGTCTGTAGAAACAGCATCAGGAAAGATCAAGCACTTAAAGGAGAACATCACGTTTGACAAAGGAGAAGGAAAAGAAGAGCGTGCAAGACCCTCAAAGAGATAACGTGGCACAAGAGCCCAACAATGGACTCTAACGTGCTGAGAATTTAAAGGGTGACATACGACTGGGCAACATCCCATCCTGTTAAACATAAGATCACCATGAGTCTGAGTCAAGTGGATTGTAACTAACAATAACAGAGTGTCTAATAGCTGATATATACTATCAACTCCAGGCCTTAATAATGAAAAACAGTATGTCTCTATAACTTTAAAGATAATTTTAACTTCTCTACCTTCAACTCGCTATGAGTCACCCGTGACTCGACGGCACTTAACAACAACAACAACAACCTTCAACTAACATCACTACTAGCCTGCAGATTTAAGCACCTTCAAATATAAGCAATGATTTATGAATTCATTTATATTCCTTGAAAACATGAGAAAGAAATTGGAGCCTTGGGAAATTAAGGAGAAAAGAATTTTCCATGAAAATAGAAATAAATGTAAATAATATGCATACTTCTGTTTATTGCTGCATTATTCACAATAGTAAAGAGATGGAAGCAACCCAAGTGTCAACAAAAGAATGCATAGAAAAACTATGGTACATCCACACAATTATATACTGTGCAGCACTGAAAAATACTGAAATACTAGAACGTTATACAACATGGGGGAGCCTTGAGGACATTATGATAAGTGAAATATCTCAGACACAAAAAGACAAATACTGCATAACACCACTGTTATAAAATAGAATAAACATGGGATGATTAGGAAGAGAATGGGGAAAGGGCAGATAAGTAATGAATTAGAACAGATGAGAGGAAGAACTATCTGAAAGAAATATATGATTATGCATTGCATGTATAAGAACAATCTGGAACAAGGAGTGCATTGTGGGGTGGGCTGATGGAGAGGGGTAGAAAATGTGCAAAAGCAAAATTTTTTTAAAAAGGAAAATAATAGAATAAATATTAGTAAAACATCTTCCTTCATCTCCCATTCTAGATCCAAAGTCATTGCTTCTAATTTGGAAACCTATAATGGAGCTACTTGTTTTTATATGAAATTTTGTGTTTGTATATGTGAGTGATTGATAGGAGATCAGACTGTATCTTGAAGATTTAAGGTCTGTTTCACTGCATGTGACAAAAGAAATCAGGTCTAGGGCTGGAAGGGAGTCAGTGTCAAAGTTAAGTGTGTTCATAAAAAGATGGTTGAAAAAGACCTTCATTACTTGACAAGTATTGTTCTTAATAGTTGGGGTTTTAAAATAATTTTTTATTATTAATTTCAATGAAAATTTACAGATTTTGGATTTCCATTCATTCATTGTTGCATTTTTCTCCCTGCCCACCCCTGCTCTCCAGTACACTCTTCTCTTTGAAAAGTAAAAGAAAAATTCTTTCATTGTTTTATAATCCCTCCCCCAGGTCCACTCCATTATGCAGTCATGACTCCTGTCATGACAAAAATACCTAATCACATATTCCTTTTAAACAGTTTTCTCCGTCATCTGTTTTAATGCAGTATATATTATTTATCCCATCTTTCTCAGTATACCCCCAACCCTGATGTCAGTCCTGTTTTACAACAGTGACATCATGCAGTATTTGTCCCTGTGTGACTGAGATATTTCACTCAGCATAATGTCCTCCAGAGTCAACCATTTTAAATAATAGTACATAAATTCCTTATTTTTCAATGCAACATAGTGTTCCATTGTGTGACTACCACAGCTTCCCTATCCATTCGTTTGTTGATGGGCACTTAGGTTGTTTCCAACTCCTTGCTATTGTGAACAAAGTCGTGATAAACATAGGTGTGTATATATCTGCTTGGATGTCAGTTATGGTCTCTTTGGGGTATATTCCCAGTAGTGGAATTGCTGGGTCAAATAGTATCTCTATTTGCAACTTTTTGAGAAAGCACCACACAGTGGCTTGCATAATTTTACACTCCCACCAACAGTGAATAAGGGTTCCAGTTTCTCCACAACCTCGCCTGCTTGCTGTTCTGTTAAATTTTTCTATTTTTACTGGAGTGAGATTATATCTTTTTGTTCTTAATGTTTGTAATTGGGGTGGGGGAATAGTCGTAATTGGCAACTACTTAGGCATATTGTGTACAGTCACATACTTGAGTCTCTATATAGGTCATTCCCACCTCCTCGGAGAGCACAGGGTCCTCTTTTCCTGATAATCTTGAACCAGCTTGAAATTACCACCCTGAAGCAGGAGTAACATCCATTTCCTAAACAACATGCCTCCAGGAACTCTATGAACTTAGATAATGTTGATAGTTGTCGATGGGCTTCATGCCTTTTGTTCACTATGCGTAGTGCTCAATGTGAAGGCAATCAACAGCAACAATTTCCAAAGAAAAGAATCCTGGTGGCAAGAGAATCCTAGTGGTAAGAAGCTGTTCTGCAGTCCTGAAGGCTTATGGTTCAAATCCAACAGCTGTTCCACAAGAGAAGGGTGGGGAAACTCCTCCTATGCAATTTACAGCCTCTGAAAATCTGCTGGAGGCTCAGCTATAAGTCAATTCCAACTTGACACAACAATATGTAATGTCACAATAACATCCGCAAAGAGAACTGGAGATAGGCACCATTCTTTCTGTAGCTACAGAACTGTGGACACTCCTCCAGTATTGATCTTGTTGCCATGTTTCTATCTCTCCATCTCAATTGGAAGCTTGTCCAGAGCAGAAACTAGATTTCTCACATCTTTATGTTTCTAGCGCTTTGTCCCACATCTGGCACCTCAAAAAATCTACTAGATAAATAAGTGAGTAAGGAAAAAAGGAGAATCTACTCCCCAAGTATCATTCAAGATACCACTTCTCGGCCTTGAGTTAGTGTGAATAGTACTGATACAATTTCCTAAGGCTTTTTTGTTACTCTTTTGATGAATAATCTCTTCCTGTACCTGTTGTCTTTATTCTCGATATAAAGGGAGGATACCTACTGGTTCGTTGACCCTCTTGCAGAAAATAGCAAGCAGGAAAACAGCTGCAATGGGTGGTCCCAGGTAACTGGTGATGGATTGGATGTAATCAAAGAGCTGCCCACTTTGTGCTGACTGTACAATGGGCACCCAGGCAATGCTGATGCCAATCAGGACCAAGATGAATAACCTGAAATCAAAATCAAAATTCCCACCATAAAGATTATTGAAAATAATTGTATATGAATATGTATTACTGAGTGACCATTTCTATACATATATACACACACACACACAAAGAAGTCATCAATCTTCACTTTTCTCATTGTCTAACATTTGGATTTGGGGAACACAAAACTGCAGAAATCTTTAGCTTGTTTTCTGATCTACAGTTTGATTGCTTGTCATTCCCCCTACAAATGTATTATTTAATTTCTTAGTATAGACAGAAAAAGAAAGAGACACATATAAATCCAGTTGCCATTGTCAATTCTGATGCATGATTATGCATAAATTTTAAGGACCACTTAGAAGTAAGTAGCAGCAGCCACCATAGCATTGAAGCCTCTTTCTGGAATCTCCCTGAAGGGAAGTCCTCTCAAAGGGCAGAGTGTCAAGTAGTGTATCTTAGTGTATGCTTTGCTTGAAAGGAGAATGTGGTGTCAGAAACCTTGATAATTGGCTTTCTAGCCCCTTCTAGGGCAATGGTTTCCAGCTTCTTTAATTACAGACACGTGATCTGACAAATCATCAACAGTTGTGGGACCAATATAAGAGAGTGCTCTCCACACTGTGGGGGGTGTGAAAACATCAACACAGAAGTGGCAGGGTGACTGTATTAAGTTAGCCCAAGTCTGCTGGAGGATAAAAAGCTGTGTAGACTGAGAAATCATATATGGTGAACTAAGCATCCAGCTGCATCCAGCCTGGCCCATTACTCACCAGTTTCTACAAAACCAGCCTACATATCTACAGTTATGTGAGTCATTACCCTGATGGGGATCTGAGTCTCTGGCAGGCCTTCCAATAAATCACCAAACCCAAGGGCCATAGAGGAACTGGGAAAATTAACCACCATATGGAGCTGTTAATGTTAGAAATTATGGACTTACACAACTAGTTAAGCATTTGGAAATATGTTGCCTTGAGACTTCTTATAATCTGCTATTAATCTTAGCAGGATGAATAATAAAGACAGAAATAGCCAGCTGTACTACTGTATACTGATTTACAGACTGTGGACAATGGATTGGCTAGATGGTCAAGGACTTGGAAAAAAAAACATGATTGGAAAATTGGTGTCAAGAGGGTATATAGATATTCAACTCTGAATTGGTCAAAGAAGTGAAGATATTTGGGCCACATATGAAAGCTCATCCAAAAAATGACCAGGAAGGAGGTTTTTTTCCAAGCCTCTCCTGTCATAATCAGTGGGCTCATGGTCAAAGTGGCCATGGGGATAAGGATGAAAACTCTGTTTCTCTGAAGAGCCTAGCCTATGACACTGTGGGTAACAGGGCAAACAGTTGTTGTTGTTGTTCTTTTAGGTGCCACTGAGCAAACAGTAGGTACTCAGTAAGTGATAAAAAATGACAGCAGTATTTTCTTCTTCCTTATAATAAATTTAACAATACAAACCAGGAAAAGTGTAGAAAATAACAATCTAGACACAAAGAAACACTATCAAGTATTTGATATTTGAGGCATTCTGTCCTTGACTTTCACTTCAAGTTCTAACAAGTTTGGAAGGTCTTGTTATAAGCTCCTATAACTAATGCTTTTTATTTCATTAGAAACAATGCTGTGGATGGCAAAGTTTAACAGGATAGCAAGTCATCAATGTTGGAGAAGATGTGGAGAGATAAGAACTCTTATACATTGTTGGCGGGATTGTAAAATGGCACAACCACTCTGGAAGGCAGTTCAGTGTTTCCTCAGAAAGCTGAACATAGAAATTCCATACAATCCAGCTATCCCACCGCTTAAAATATACCCCAAGAGAATGAGAACTGAGGCACAAATGGAGACTTGTCCACCAATGTTCATAGCAGCATTATTCACCATCACAAGAACATGGAAATAGCCCAAATGTCCAACCACAATCAAGTGGATAGAGAAATTACAGAACATTCACTTAATGGAATACTATGCAGCACACAGGA